TCTCTCCATGCTGTCTCCCCTGCGTTTGTTTCTCCACTCAATTCAACTAGCAGTGTATTTGCTCTGTCGCTGACGTAAAGTGTCCTTTCCAGCTGCCGCCACCCGCACAGCCCCCCAGAAATTTTCCACACAAGCCCCCCGTTCCACGTTTGTAATCCCCACAGAGCTGGCTGGCTAGCAACACCCTCAATGTGCTTGCTGTTGGCCCACATTGTGGCACTGTTGTCGTGGTGTACTTTAAGGGCTTACGAAAGCATATGATGGCATAATTTCTATTACGTTTTCTTTCCTTTTTCTTGTTTTCTTTTTTTGCAGCAAAAAGCAAAATTGACACCATTTTTTTCATGTTTTCTTTTTCTAATGTTTGGCCCTGATGAGAACGTGGGCTGGCTAACAAGTCATTGCACTCTCAGGACAAGGGTTGGGAAAAGTGACAGCTGCCAGCTGCTTACCCCAGTTTAGCCATTCGAAGCGCCACTCGTAAACGTTTTTCTCATTCGCATTTTTCCTCTTTTTTCCAGGCATGCCCCAAACTTATACACCTCGCATATCGTATGCAAATTTGGCTCAAGTGTGTCTAAAAGTCATAAAACGTTGACAGTTTAGTTGCCGCTGACCCAGTTAAGAACTTGTAGTTGAACGCAACTATAATTAAGTTTGATATATATGAAAATGAAAAGGTACTCGGCATATACATTTTTCACTTGAAAATATGAGGTGGCAAGCGAATAGAGTGAACATAAAATATTAAAAGCAGAATAATTGAATAGATATGTGCTATTCTTGTGTCTTACTTTTTAAAAATAATTCATAGGTAACAAAAGTTCTTTTGATCTCTTAGGCTTTCTGAAATATCTTGAACTTAAAAAAGTATTATAAATATATGTGAGTCAATTTTGAGTTAAGTTTAAATGTTAACAAGCTAAAATTAGAACTATGACTGACAACCAATAACACTCTGGGCAGTATTAATATTGATGGATCTTGCCTGACTCACTTAACAGATTTAGTTTAGGCGTGTGCTGTCCAAGCACTGCTGCACTTTGACATTTTCCAATATCGTCGTCATGCATCCGCAGTCTAATAACATTCATAAATTTGTAAACAATGGAAAGTTTTGCTATTGTGGTGCAGTTTATGCAGTTCCACTGCCATCAAATTGTCTAAACATCTGTAAGACGAGTTAAGTTTCCCGTCTTGAGTGCCTCGTGTTGCACTTACGTCACTCGCGTGGGCGTTTCGTCTTGTTGACCGAACGGACAGCGCTCGCGTGTTCTGGCAGTCAGCTTTTGCTTGTGACTGTAATGTGGTAATGTGGGTTAAGTGCTCGTCATTTGACTGCTGATTAGTCGAAATGAGCTCTTGATTAGCACAGTGCTCGCCACCTGTCTGTCTGTCTGTTGGTCTGTCCACAAACCGTTGAAACCACATTTTTTGGGACCAGACAACGATCTACTTGTGTCTCGCTCCCGCGCAACGCAAATGAAAACTAATTAACTTGTTTATGCTGCGGCCAATGAAAAAAACTTAATACATACTGACATATTGCCACTGGCAGTCGCCATGTTTAATCTGTGCAACTGTCCACAGGGGCAGATAGTATTATTTAGATATGGATATTGGCCGCGTGTCGTGTTTTCAGAACGATTCAACATGACTTTTTCGTGTCACTCTTGATGTAAGTTCGTAAATAGAAAAAAGAGATGACCTGATAGTTCTTGCATAACAATTAAAATTATAAATATAGATTTATTTATAAAATTTGAATTCTTAAATATATAGCAAGGATTATTCATTTACTCAGTAGTTAAATTCACTAAGTTACTACACATTTGATGGTATTGCAAATTGCAATAAGAACTAATCATGACAATATCAATAAATTGATGAATGAAATTAGAATTGAAATATGTGGAGTTTGAAACTACACAACTGACTAGACGGATGTTCTGAATATATCACTGAACTATATTGAAGAATGTAAAAAATAAGAAAACACTTGACCTGGAACCACCAAAAAAACATATCTAAATCATAAATAGAGATCAAACAATAAAATAAAATTATAATTTTTAAATATATGGCACATCTGGGTGGGTGGCAAAGGTGACAAAATGTACACTGACCTCCAATGCGACATGTGACAACCCGTGTCATTTAATTTTCAGAGCATTTTAATTAGCTACGTTCTGTTGTGTGTGAAATGTGGTTTCTCTTGCGGGGGCCGGCTAATCAAATCATGTAAAAGCAACTTTTTTTTGTTCGTTTTGTTTTTTTTTTTTTCTTGTTCAATTGAATTCAATTGACTTGCAACCGTCGTTTAAAGTTGTTAAGCTGCCTGAGCACTGATTTGATTTGATTTGCTTTCATTTACTTAAATTAGCTTACAGCATTTGTGACTTGATAAGCAATGTTTGCCAATTGCACGCGTCGAGTCAACTGCAAACAAATAAAACTCATAAACGTTTGTTAATAACTTTATAAACAATTCTATAAAATCTTTCTCGTAAGCACCTTCAAAGGCGAAACCAGCGTAATAATCATATTTGCAAATGGATTCCAAACAAATTATATTTAAGTACACAATGCAACTATTGCCAATTAATGAGGCCTTACGTCACGCAATTAAAATTGAGTGGCGCGATCTTCAGTTTGTTGTTTTTATCAGTTTGCTATTCAATTACATCTTTCTTGATAAGCAAAAAATATCATTGCAATATATATAGTACTTAGAATTTCCAAAAATATACTTTGCACAAGAAAGGAATAATATTTCCAACTTTGAACAAAAATGTTGATGTCAGCAGATTAACTCCGGTCGACAAGGGCATGGCATGTAATCAAAGTAGTATTTGGCGTGCCAAAGATATCGGTTAAATTCTTGATCGAGATAGGCGTATACATACATATCGCTTTTTACTTATCTTTCGACCGATACCGTTCTTATGACAGCTATATCATATAATGGTCCGATCCGATCAGCTTGACCTATATTACCTATTACTGCTCGGACAGACAAACATGGCTATATGAATTGATGCTGATTAGAGGCTCCACGATATCTCCTTCAGTGTACGTTGCAAAACTGAACACAAAATTTCGATTATTTTCTCTTCGTCTGTTTTTCGTTTGTAAAATCAAAGTTAGCTGATATCACATTGGATGTGGCACCTACCCTCGCATTCTGAGCATTTAACACCTCTTGTCACACGTCAGTCGACGAACGCAGCGATCTATCAGACTCCTCAGTCTGCAGGCTAAAGCAAAATGTTGCTGTTGACAAGCGCAATCATTAAAAGTGTCAAACGAAACTGAAAGAAGTATTTGTTGTTGATCTCGCATAGTTGTTGTTTTTGATTTTGTTTTTTTGTTTTTATTTTCAATACGTGTGCAGAATTTCAATTGAAATTTGCAATTCAATTTTTGCATTTTATACACGGTAGCTGCGAGGGTAGCGGGTGCGAAGTGATGTGGAGTGTTGTGGGGCAGGGCAGGGCATTGGCCACCCTCCTCTAACGAGCTATTTAACATGCGAATTGCTGAAACGAAAGCACTCGTCACAAAATTATACGCGATGGAAGAATCAAAATGATAAAAAAATATATATATATATTTTGAAAACGTTTGTAACTCTTTAGTCAAGCCTATGGGGATTACAGTAGTCGTTTAGTTTTGGTTTTGTTTTTGTTCGGTTAGTATAAGCTCAGCGCAGCGTGCGGCGTAGAAACGAATAATTAAGTATACGCAACATGTGTGCCAATTGATTTTGATTTTGATTTTGTATAGCAGCATCAATATTTAAAATGTTTTCGCGTACTTTATACACGTCCAATAAAAACAAACAATACGCTAATTATTTATACGCAGTGTGCGTGCAACTAATACTTTTTGCTTTTGATAAATACACATACAAGTATAAAAGTGATTCTTCCTACAATTTATGACGCAAACAATCACTAAAAATGTATGAGAAAAAATTCAAAACAACAAATATTTATGGAAAAGTACATTTAGAAATTGTTAACTTCATATAATTCCACGAATTAAATTATCAATACACACAAGAAAACACATTAAAATATTTGAATAACATATATTTAAACAAATTTTCGCTTCCATTTGTTTTGTATGTGAGTTTTATTGATTTGTAATTGCGGCTGCATACAAATACTATAAATCTTACGTATGTATATTTAATAGCAGTCGATTTGTATTTCTGCCAGTTTCGGGTTTACCAAATATTAATTAGATATCGCAATCAGAACCGGCTGCTGTTAACGTGCAGAGTTCAGTTGACTCAGGCGACATTTGGGAGCCTTGTAAGAAGTACATTCATGCTATATTCATATATAGCACACATTTAGCTCTCTGGCCAGCTGAGATTTTTATTGACGCTGGCATTTAATGCCGTTTCATATATTTTATGGCCCAGAGGCACCGGACGCCTTGTCTACAATCGCAATCTTGTTGTTGGTCCGGCCCAAATGAAATTAAATAAATGTACTCAGTTGTTTTTCATGCGTGTCATTGAACCAATCGAGGAATTCAGATCTTTGTGCGGGTGTGAGTGACAAGGACTATAAATATATACATATAATGAACATTCATAAATATAAAAACTTTATACATACACACACGCACACACACCTAGAATCATTGCCATTCACTTGTTTGGCTTATTCGTCTAACTGATGGATGTTGATTGGCTTGCATACAGTTTTTTTCTTCTTTTTTTTACTTATTTGTCGTTTCTTGGATTGCCAAACATTAAAATTATAATAAACAAACAATCTTTAGTAGCTGATCAATTTTTCGAAAACCTAATTTGCCGGCATGGCCTTTAATGAAACTTTGAAAGATATGACTTTGAAGTATTTTTCAAACTTTTAAAGCATAAGATCACTCTTGCCTTAGCACTCAATATGTTAATTTCGTTTCTGAATTTAAATTATTTCAATTACACCATGAAATTAATGTATATATCGTTATTTTTCTTGCAGACTTCGAAGCGCCACTCATTTTGATGTTTACCAACACTATGCAATCGCAGTATTGGTATTAAATTGTTTACTATAATGAATTCCGCGCGGCATCATCGTATTGGAGTGTTTCTGTCTCCATAAATGCGCGTAGCTAAACCACAAATATAACAATACAATAATAACAACGGCAATAAATCGCAATTCATTACAAATTGAAGTTGATCTAGTCACAATTATAAATACCGCAAATTACGTTAGAGATTGCATACAAATTAAAAGCCAAGTCTTGCAAACTAACTACACACACCACAACACACACAGAATCACACACACACACCTATTAACTAAGGAGGCAAACAAAAAACGGACTCTCAGAAAGGGGAATAAACAGGCTTTTAAAATGCCCTATCATCGTGCGGATACATCGGCTCAGGCCGACAAACTGAGCGGCATTGTGGAGGAGAGTGATTTGTACGAGGGATTTGCGCCACATGTGGAAACATCCGAAATCAAAACACTCGATTTTTACAATCTACCAAAGCAAACTGGTGAGTGTACTAATTATTTATGCATTTTATTGAAATTAGTTAAGTAAGAAATACAGAACTTGCCAAAGAAACTCAGAAAACATGTCAAGAGCACAAAATTACTTAGTACTGTTGTTTTTATATCAAAACAGTTGAATATTTGAGAACTATTTCTTAAATTCAATCCAATCGGCAGTCAATCAAAATGTAATCGGATCAATCAGTATCAGCGATACAATTGATCGTCAAAATCCATCCATCAGCTTAGGCCTTTAAAATAAACAATAATGTTTGAGAATTACTACAAATAAACAAAAGAATGATATGTACGCATATATAGATATATGTACGTTATAAAACTGAACAGCAGGTGAAAAGATTCTTTTTGAATATGTGCGTGCTCATTGTGTAATGAGCTCATTTAACAATAAACAAATAAAACAAAGCAACCAAAGGTCGAACTTTAATGACGGAAAACCACCTACGCCAAATGTGTATGGATCATAATCTATGCATATAAAAATATAGATGCATATATATGTAGATGCATATATATGTAAATAAATATATAAACTGTTCATACAATATATATACCGCACATATACATAGTATCTGTATGTATTTGTAGAGAACTGAACGTACACGTGTTTTCATCCAAATGCTGCAGAAAAGTATTTTGAGTCAAATATTAATTTATGCATTGCATGAAAGATTATTTGTTTGCGTTGTGCCGCCGACCAAAATACATTAATCAATAAACAGCAGCAAGAAAAAAAAAACGCAAACACAAGCAGAGAAAAAATAACGTATAAGCGAATTTCGTACAAGCAAAATAAATTAAATATAGGCATTTGTAATAATTACGAGCTAATATGGTTGTACCGCTTGGCCTGGCCAAACTGTAAAGCTGCCTCCACATTGCCCCCAAAAAATTAAAACTGCCTCTGAAACTGACCGAACCGGCCAATTGGCCCGGTCCGAACAGTTAGACTGGATTCCATGCACACAAGCATTGATTGTACTCATTTTACTTATTTGTACGCTTTTTATTTTCAATCGAGCTGCTTAAATTATAAGTATTTTCGGACTATTTTAACACGCAAGCAAAAAAAGTAATGATCCAAAAAAATCAAGCCCGAAGGCTTTATGTCATATTATGCTAACAACTTTGTGTAAACATCAACATTGAAACATTATTCAAGCGAACAATAAATGAAGAAACACCTTAGAATGCTTTAGTTGAGTCAGCTCGACTGGCATATACCCTGAACGGAAGTCTTAAGCTTAAAGAATGTTTTAAATAATAAACGGAAGTCTGCCATAATTCATAACGCATTATTCGAGAAGTGAAACCAAGATTAGGACAAGATTACTTTTGCTGCTGATCAGATGCCTCTTAAATACATTAACACAACTTCATGATACCCTTACTGAACGAATACTCTAAATAAAAAGAGCTACTGTGTATTTTTCAGAATATCCTTGAGTCTCACATATTTTGGTATTTTCTATTTGAAGGGAAACGCTTAATTAGTTTTTTTCGCACATAAATGCGAAAGACAGGCAGAGAAGTTGGAATAATCAAAAAACGATAAACAAGTGAATTATTCTATTATCTTATTTATTGCATTCAAAATTTCAGCATAGTCGAATAACGATTCATTGCATAACCAACTTAAGGTTTCAATATCTGACTTTTTTAGGTTGGAAATTGCTTAAATCAAACTAAAAATTGTATCTGTTTTTTTTTTCGATTGTTTATGTTTACGAAATATTGAAAACTTTTCGAATTTGTTTTCGGTACACCCTGGTGAACTAATGTTTATTCAATTCATTTTTATTTACGCTGGCCCTTGGAATTCGTCGAATCTTCAGTCTTTTCGTTGTATTTTTTTCCCCCCTTTCCAAAATGCAAATCGCAATTTACATAATCTTTGATATGCAACTGAATTTTGCACTGTGCACCTATTTTGGGATTTCGGGTTTGTAGAAAATGAACGTAAATATTGTTGATCACTTTGAAGTTGGCCAACAGCAATCAACAATCAAAGCTTATCAATATGTATAAGAAATGTGCCGATAACTGAAGGTTATAAAACCAATTGACCTAGATTCTAAAGGGCTAAAGACACAACAACAGTTGGTTCAAAGTTTTATTTGTGCTATGATTTGTGGCAAATGATTTGCGTTCAAATGTCGATTAAATAACAGAGGCAAATTTCAATACATTTTTATGGCACATCAAAGCCAATTTTGAAATTTACATTTGCAATGCATTAGAAAGCCAAACGAGCGTGGTTGAATAAGATTTGCAATTATAGTATATAATCAATATCTACCCCATAAGAGTACTCAGAGGAATATAAATTGAAATACATATTCATATAGTTTCTGAATAGTACTGAATATTGGACATAAAAATGATCAAAATATATGTGTACATTTTTAGATTTCGATTTCTACTGTCTGCAAACAGGGTATTCCATAGTCGCTCTGTATCGACTAACCCAATATCGTTTTATTGAATCGGCCTGCTAGTTGTATCTTGTCAAAATGCCAATATGCATTAATGCCATTTGGAATTGCAATCGAACCAATCGGCCAATCCATTAGTTGGAAAACGAAGAGGCTCAGCCGCTGACGACATTGGCCTTGATTTTGAATTTGCATATGATTATTTTATAATTTCTTTTGCTGATACTGTGAACAGACCGTGAACACACACACCCAAATGTGTGGATGTTGTCCCGTTGCGAGTGTTCATGTTGGCCCAATAATTATTTTGTCACATATTTAGAACGCCGTGCGACACACACGAAATTTTGTGTTTTTGTTTTGTTTTTGGAAAATCCGATTTGCAATAACTCTGCATTATGAAGTATAGATACATACACACATACAAGTAGATATTTTCTTTTATTTATATTTATTTTTTTTTGTTTGACATAATGCTAAAGAATTTTGCATATATATTTTGTTGTTATTGTCTCTCGTTATGTGCACAGTAAGCTAAACACAACCGATTCACGTTTTTATGGCAGCTGGCGAGCGGCCAATTAATTAGTTTAAAAATAAATGCAATTTTCTTGCCATCTCCCCACCATTTTTTTTTTTCATTTTTCCGTTTTCTATAAATTTTTTCTTGTTTTTTTTTTTTGCGTTGTGTTAAAATTTCAAATTGAAACTTAGCAGCTAAACATGTGATGGGGAATTATGAAATATAAGAAAAGTTATGGCCTTTGTTTTTGTATTTATAAGTCCATAGAATCAAATAAAAAATGAAAATGTGAAAATACGGCCAAGGTATGACAAGATTACATGTTCTACACGGCTCTACATACTTCCAAACTGAAATGCATTATTATTATAGAAGTCAAACTATGATCAAAAGGTATTGATTTTGAATATCGGTTAAATTTTGTCATTGTTATGACTGGGGAAAGCTTTGACTCATCTCTATATGATAATAACTTAATAACAACCGATAGTTTAACATATTCTAAGTGGCTTTTCCTAAGGAATTCTAATATAAGGTTGAATTTTGGACTATTGGGTTCTGCAAGGGGGTGCATTGGATTGGTACTGTTGAAGTGGGAGGATCTGTGATGGGAGAAAGTTAGACAGTGTTTTACATGCTCAACATTATTGTTTGAGTTATTACGACAAATTTTACTTGGGTTTCCATCGGATATTGCCTGCAGCAAAGAGTATAAATTGAAAGTTTCACCTAGTTAGCTTTGGCATATAAACCGACTACCTGGCCAATAGGCGACTACCTCTGACTTGGCTATATACACTCGGCTAATGCTGCTGATCGAGAATAAATGTACATTAATGCCTTTGGCAAGGGCATACAAATGTATCAGCTAATTTTGGTAAATGTCTTTTTAATGTTTACTTTTTAGAAATTGTGTACAACATTTTTAAGCTACATTTGTGGGGACATTTAAGATCTTCTTGTCTGTGTTAATCATCGTTTGTGATTTATATTATTTATAGGGACCGCCTGCCATTTATCTTTGCTATATTTTTGGCACTCGTGTACAACTTTCAATGATCTCTTTTGAAATATTTCATATTAAAAATAACCTCTTGTTATTGTTTTGAATAAGTATTTTACTATACCAAGCATGCAGAATACAGAATATATTTTAATATTTCATATATATATATTCCGTTTTTCGTCAGCAAGATAATTGAAATCCAAGCACTTATAAAAATACTTTAACCATATTATTCTGGTACACATAACAAATGTTTTATATGGCCAAAACATGTCTTAAATGCACTGTCACAGGCCGCGTGCCGGCACTACAACATCGATTATATATACATATGTATATATATATAATATAAGTAGTGTTTGGCATCAAGTTGATGGGCTTAAGATTTAATATTTATTTGTTTTCGCCAAAGCAACAACATTTTTGCTTACGCAAAACAGAGAGCAATGTTTTCTGCCACCCGTGACGCGAATGGACGATATATTGGTTAAATTATGTACGATATATATATGAGTGTATGTACATATGTATATCTTATGTTATAATCTATATGGAAATTTCGTTTTGTGTGCATTTAAAGAAAAACAACATCGTATAATTCAGAAAATCGCTTATGCTTTGCTCGAGCCACTTCAAAAATTGATTAAAAAACATTTTCATATTCGTTTTTTTTTTTTTTAATGTTTGCAAAATTAAAATTTTCCATAGATATGGATGCTTGTGTATATCTTATAGATGTATATAAAGATATGGATCGTAAGTGCCACACGCGCTTGCTGCTCAGCCGATAAATCTGTTGCGCTGATATGAGCGTTGGGCAATGGGAGCGGATTGGGGAAGGCAACGAATCTGAATTATTACACTCCACCCGCATTTCTCTTTCTGTCTCTCTCTCGCTCTGAGAGAGATGCTACGTCAGTTGAGCACGTGCTTCTTTCTAAAAATATGCGAAAAGTGCATGAAACCGTTGACGAATCGATTTTGAATGCATTTCGTAACTGGGCGAAACCAGTTTTG